ACCTCTTTCAAAAAAAAAAAAAAAAAAAAAAAAAAAAAAAAAAAGAAGAAGCATTATTTACAGAGAAAAATATAAAAATAGAATGTCCAAGTATGTTCAACTAAGGGTTGAAAGCAAATGTTACTGTACCAGCTTTTTGTTGTTAGTAGTATATATGAATAGCTCTCCTACTCTGGGTTTTTTAATCACATAAAATAAAACGACCTCACACACATATAAGTACACATATGCATTTCTTCTCAATCAGAGCTTCCATGATGCATAACTGACAGAAAATTTGAATTACATGTAAATCTAAGCCTTGCCCACGTATGTTAGCTTACCAGATTTGTGCTTCTTGTGTTTTGCTTTCTTTTTGATGATCAGTAACTTATTCTGGACCTCGGGTTTGTAAGATTTGAATGCAAGAGAATGAAGACTTTCACGCTTTCTTTGTAAATTTTCATTCAAAACATCTTTCAATTTCTTTTTTTTCTTTTTCTTCTTTTTTGCCCTCATTTTAGTTAGTTTGAGTTTTTTGTGACTCTGCAGTGAATGCTCTAGTAATATATCCCTTACAACCTTGTGGCAGTTAATGTCTGGATGATCAATGTGACTTCCATTTATGTGAATTTGGCAAGATTTTAGAGCATTTTCTTTTAATGGATTAGATTCAGTCTTTATTCTGGAAGCTTCACCATATTTTTCCTGATTTTCTATAAACCTTATTTCACCTGGACTCAGTGGCTCTCCAAAGTCAGTAACTTCCCCTGGACTTTTGGGTTTCTCCAAATTTTCTTTACAACATTCAGTTTTTTCAATTTCACAGGCCCTGTGAATTTTAATTTCACAGTTCGATTTTCCTTCCATTTGGACAGAGATGTCATGATTACCAAAGTTCATTTTAGCAGGGCAACAAGTTGGATCAAAATTCATTTCCTGCTCTTTCTTGAAGGCAGAGGGCAGGCCTTCTCTAGTACATTGATGTTCTCCATTACTTGTACTAACATAGTCACATTTGAATTTCTCCAGTTTAATCCGAGGTACTCTTCTTACTTTAATGGGTGGAATTGGAAATTCTGGGGCCTGAAAAGGTCTTTGTTTATAAATCCGTACATCTGCACCACAAAACTGTGGAAAATGTACATAAGCGTTCTCCAAATAATCATAACCAAGGATAACTTCCCTGCACTCATGAATAGGCTGCCCAAGTACAGCATCTTGAACTTCTTTTTGTGTTTCATACACAAAGTCACAAAGTCCTTTAAGTAACCATACTTTTTGGTAGAAAGGTAGCTCGTGAAAAGGTTTTTCTTCCAATGGATTAACTTCTCCAAGAACTTTAAAAAACTGAGGACATAACCCAAGTTTTTCAGCACAGTTATCAGGATTTTCAGTCTGTCCTACAGCAGTGTACCACTGCTGCACTTTCTGTCTGAGCACAGCTTCCCAAGTCCTGTAAGGCAAAGTAGGTCTTCGATGTAAGGTAGGTCTGCGATGGGGAGGGCTTAGTAGAGAAGTCATTATTTTAGACAGAAAAGCATTGCACTGAGGCATCAGAAGACAACGTTCTAATTCATAAAAGACTATTTCTGGCAAGTTTAGAATTTGCTGGGCTAAACAAAGGAAATGGCCAATTGCTGGAATTTCCCACATGTTCTCCATACAAGTTGGAGCTGCTTGAGCTAGAAGTTTTCTTTCCCACTCTTCCACTTCCTTTTGGCAAGCTTCTTCTGCTTCTTTTCTTTCCTGCTCCCGAAGCCTAAACAAAATTTAAATTACACTTCTATTACTTAGAGAGTAGCATAAAACATTGAATTTTAAAGTTATATTTATCTTCAGTCTTTAAGACAATTGATTCTTCTAGTTTTCCATAGCAGTACAAAGTGTCCCATTTAAAGTATGTTATTTGTTACTCCCCCCAAGATGAGGAAATACACATACTTCTTTCACCCCCGGACTGATGAAGGACTACCACTAACACTATTGTCTTCCTAATAAAATAATGGTAAAGCATATCTACTTTATCTAAAACAACAAAATGAGATTTGATTATAGTTATTTTTACACTGTAACTTCATATAAGAACTATAAAAATGTTTACATTTCTAATCACATTATTTCATTTCTAGAAAACTACAGTAATGGGGCTGTGGTTGTAGGCCAGATAATAAGAGTATCTAACTAGCAAGCATGTAGAAAGCCTGGGTTCAAGGCCCAGCACAGAGTGTGGTAGTGCTAAAGGCCTTTGACTATACTGTGAACTAAAGGTCTGCCTGGAATATATATGATAAATACTGCTTTAAAAAAAGAGAGAGACAACACAGTTGGTCCAGATAAACCAATTTATTTTTACTCTTAAGGTCGTTTGAGGATCTGTTCCTCAGGGGTCACATGGGCTTGGGAGGAGCCCCTGGCTCCTTTCTTTTACCAGTTCCGCCTGTGTGAAGATAAGTCAAAGGTCCTGCTCAACCATGGTTGGCTTTGCTTGGAAGCATGGAGGAAATGAATCCTCTATGTTGACCCTCCTCTATGTAAACTGGACACTGGTTCAAGTCCATTCGGTGGGGTCTCCTCGGCCTTCTAGATCAAGAGGAAAGGTGACCCACCACCATTATAGGACATTTTGAAAGATACTCATAGTCCCCTGTTACTAGTTGACCTAGGAGGACGAGGAGCAAAAAGTGTCCTTTATGTCCCTCTGACCAAATTATTATAGGCTTCAAAGTATGTCTGTCAAACACCCAAGAAGGTTAGTTCCACCAGTCTGGTATTTTTAATTACTGTGTGTCATGTAGATAAATCTTGGGCAAAGACCAGCTGTTCTCAGATAAATCTTACCTAGACATATATTTCTTGATCTGCTATGTATAATTTGTCAGTAGGTTGTAGGAGTAATATGGTTCCATGAGGAACAGCTGACCCTCCTAAAACAAAGACCTCTAGATAGGCTGACTAGATTGACCAGATGGACAAGTAGCGTGGAATGGCTGGGGTGCTGACAACACAGCAGACAGTAGCAGGGATATCAGAGTATAAGGGCTCTAGTGTGGGGAGGGAGGCTATGGGAGGGTGCTATTTGGGAAGTGGGTGTAAAAATAAATTTAAAAAAATTAAAAAAAAGAGAGAGAAAGTTATAGAAAGAAGACAATTAGAAAAATTTCTTTAACTTAAAAAATATTTATTAGTGTGAGTGCTATCATGCCTGCACATACATAAGGGCACCCTGTCGTGTGATGCCCCCAGAGGTAAGAAGGTGGCACTGGATCCCTTGGAACTGGAGTTAGAGATGGTCGTTAGCTGCCATGTAGGTACTGGGATTCAACCCAGGTATTCTGCAAGAGCATTCTGTGCTCTTAACCACTGACCATCTCTGTAGCCCCAGAAAGATAATTTAGTAGAAACAAAAAGTTATGTACTTTTCAGTGGCAAATGGAGCTTTATCTAAGAAATACAGAACAGTAAATAAACTGTAGGGTTTGGGGAGATGGTTCAGTTAGTAAAGTGCTACTGTACAAGCACAGGATCTGAGTTTGGATCCCTAGTATCCATGTAAAAGCTGGGCACAGCGGTGTGCTGCTGTAACCCCAGCACTAGGGGGTGGGTTTGCACAGTGGTAGAGACAGGTGTATTTCAGAAGCTCATTTACCAGCCATTTGGTGAGCTACAGATTCAGTGAGAGAAACGCTGTCTCAAAAATAAGGTGGAGCATGATAGAGGAAGACATCTGATGTTGAACTGTGGCATACATACACACACACAAACACATGCATGCATGCATTTGTACATACCCACAGACACATGTACACATACCACACATACATAAAAAGGAGAAATTATTATTAGTTATGATGTAAAATGAACTGAGGTGCCACCATGGATGAATGGATAAGGAAAATGTCACACACACACACACACACACACACACACACACACACACACGAGAATATTACTCAGCCATAAAAAAATGAATTTCTATTATTAGCAATATGGATGGAATTAGGGGTCATTATGGTAAATGAAATAAATCATATACAGAAAAAGGTCACAAGATGTCACTTGCAGAAAACTAAAAAAGTCAATGTTAAAGAAAAAACAATTGAAACAGTATCACTAGACACCAGAAAAGGGGAGGAGGGGGGACAGGAAATGGGGGAAATGAAAAGAAGTTAGAAAATGCTACCAAACACAGAAACAACTAGTTCCATATTTCTATAACTGTGATCTGTTTAGGCAAATACACAGTAAGAATACTCATTGGCAAAATCAGTTTGTTCTTTTATAGAGTAAGCCTATTTTATGGTTTTGGCAGTGATTACACTATATCTTGCTGTTAAATATGAAAATTAAGGGGCTAGAGAGATGGCTCAGCAGTTAAGAGTACTGGGTCTTGCAAAAGACCCAGGTTCAAATCCCAGCACTCAATAGTGGCTAACAATTGTCGATAACTCCAGTTCCAAAGGATTTGATGCCACTGTCTGTCCTCTGTGGGCACTGCACAATAGAAGTGCACTTGCATACATGTACACAATACATGCTTATTGCACATAAGGCAAAAATAATTTTTAAAAAATTAAAAAAAACAAACCCAAAATTTAACTTTTATTATCAGTGTAAATAGTTGCAATAGAACTAAATCTTTATTTCCCATATATGGATGTCACGATGTAGTGCCACACTGAAAAAGCCAACAAACAGCAATGTAAGAATTTATTTGGAAATGTGGAAATAATTATAACAGCTAAGAGTTAACGTGGATGATTCTGAATCAAGGACTTGAAGGTAAGTTAGAATGAGATTGTACTCTTTTATTAGAGTACTACAGGAATTTTAAGTTGTATAGTCTATAAATTTAAAAAAATCTTAAATCAAGAATCTAAAACCTAAAGATTAGTCAGGTTATTTGTCGATTCTGTTTATTTAACCAGAAATTAAAGATTCTATATATTTTACCACAAAATAAAGTTTCTTTAGATTATAAACTGTTTCAGAGTAAAATTTCTTCTTCAAAATTCTGCTGTTAGCTATACACAGAGTTTTTGAGCAATTTCTCATATAATTTAATTATGACCTTAAATTTTGTTGTAAAATCCTGTATCAGTTAGCATATCAACCACCCAAAGATGATTTTATTTACTATGCTTGTCGCTGATTTCTGATCAGTAACAACTATGAACTCACTGTAAATCACTCATTGATTTAAAAAAAAAAATCTCGTAACAAGCAACAATGCCAGACAGGCGATACCTTCTTTTGAGTTGTTGGCCAGGGTGGCCAAAGGGATTCCCAGAGAGTAGCCCAGCATAGAACTGGGAAAATGAACAGCAGACCCCGATCTTATCCAAAGAAATATTGACAACTGATTACTGCTAGATGAGGAACAGCTGACCTTCCTAAAACAAAGACCTCTAGATAGGCTGACTAGATTCACCAGAAGGGCAAGTAGTGGGGAATGGTTGGGGGTGCCGACAACACAGTAGACAGTGGCAGGGATATCAGGGTATAATGACTCTAGTGGGGGAGGGAGGATATGGGAGGGTGCCATCTGGGAAGTGGGTGTAAAAATTTAAAAAAAAATCTCATAGATGTTACACCTAGAAATCATCTCTTTTTGACTGTACATACAAGCAAAATATAATGGCACTTTATATTTCATAGGTTTCTGTTTTTTTAATATATTTTATTATTTTTATTTTATGTGTATGAGTGTATTGCCTGCATGTATACAAGTGTACCTGTGTCGTGCAATGCCCATAGAGGTCACAAGAGGGTGTCGGATCTCCTGGAACTAGAGTAATAGACAGTTGTTAGCCATCATGTGGGTGACGGTAATTGAACACAGGTCCTCTGCAAGAGCATCCAGTGCTCTTAACTGCTGAGTCACCTCTTCAGCCCTGGGTTTCTGCTTTTAAAATCAAAACGTAGGTGCCTCTGAGGTGGCTCAGTGGGTAAAGCTGTCCTCTGACTCACATGCACTGTGGGATGCACACCCATATAAACACCTCAAACAGAATTTAAGTTGAAATTAAAAAAAAAAATTATAACATCTTGTTTTTCCTAAAGAGAACGAGTTTACAGTACAGGTTGAATATCTCTATCTAAAATGCTAAGGACAAAAAGTGTTTTTGGATTTTCTAATATTTGCCTACAATTCACTATATATCTAGGGCTGTCCTTGAACTTGCTGCAACTTTCTTGCCTCGGTCTCCTGAGTGCTGGAATTACAAGTTTGCACCTTCACTCCAGGCTTACAATAGCCCCATGGAGATAGTAATGTGTAGTCTTTCTCCTGATTCTAAACAGTGTAGTGAATTGGGAATGAAAGATCCTTAAACTGTGGAGCTCTAGGGGCAATATTTGCAAATTTTTAATATCTTTAACACTTCAAACACAATTTAAAGTACTACATTCAGGGAAATGAAAATTAAAACTATTTGAGAATTAATCTTTCCCAGTCAGAATGACTAAGATAAAACAAATGACAGCAAATGCTGGCATGGATGTGAGGAAAGGAGAAAACTTATTCACTGCTGGTGGGAATGTAAATCGGTGTGGCTACTATAGAAATCAGTGAAGTTTCCCAAAGAGCTAGAAATAGAACTACTGTATGATCCAGCTATACCACTCCTAGGCACATTCTCAAAAGAATACGTGCCACGTTCTACTATAGAGATACTTGCTCATCTATGCTGTTGCTCTGTTCACAATAGCTAGGAAATGGAAAACAGCAGAGAGGTCCATCAACTGATGAATGGATAAAGA